CAGAGCTTGCCTATAACTTGTTTAAGAATATGATTAAGCAAATGATTGCAAACTTGCATCTGAATCTAAAAAAAAGCAGAGAAACATATGCAGGCAAAATCTGCTAAAAGTGACCTCGAGGAGGAATTCCCACCAAGAAAAAAAGATCTAGTAGAACCTGAAGACTAATCTTGGAAAATTTCTCTATGCAAATACAAACTGAATAAGTTGTATTTCCTAATAAAAAGATTAGTGGGAGAGAGAAGAAAGTAGAAGACTTTGATCTTTTTTTCTTGGTGGAAATTCCTCCTCGAGGTCACTTTTAGCAGATTTTGCCTGCATATGTTTCTCTGCTTTTTTTAGATTCAGATGCAAGTTTGCAATCATTTGCTTAATCATATTCTTAAACAAGTTATAGGCAAGCTCTGTATCTTCAACACGTGGCTATCTGATGACAAAGCTCTTAGCTTCTTCAAACAAATTATATCCAGTTCTATAATTTCATCTGACTAATGCGATTTTCCAAAGTATGCCAGTCTTTAATGCATTCATTTGTGGATTTTTTCAATCAGTAACAATAAAAGGTAACAATTCTATTTATTGTTGTTGTTGAGACAGGGTCTGGCTCTGTCACCCAGGCTGGAGTATAGTGGTGCCCTCTTGGCTCATTGCAACCTCTGCCTCCAGGGCTCAAGCCATTCTCCCACCTCAGCCTCCGGAGTAGCTGGGACTACAGGCCTACACCACCATGCTTGACTAATTTTGGTATTCTTTTGTAGAGACAAGGTTCAGCATATGTTGCCCAGGCTGGTCTCAAATCCTGGGCTCAAGTGATCCTCCTGCCTTGGCCTCCCAAAGCGCTGGGATTATAGACTTGAACCACTGTGCCCAGCCAACAACTGTTTTTAACACATGCCATAAGCTAAAACAACATCTTTGAAACTTTTCTCCCCACTCATCTTCCCTTTTTGAGCAAAAGTGACTCTTTTGCTTTAGCCTTCTTCAGTGCTTTCATTTGTTACTCCTTGCCAATAATATTAGGCATGAGGTGTTGACTAAGGCACTATATGATGTTAATCTTCATATACTTGTAATTTTAAAAACTCTTCCCTGCCCAGCAAATTTTAACTCTTTCCTTTAAGGCTCAACTCATAGCTCCCTATGCTTTTTAATGCTTAATCACTTAGCCAGTTTATAATTATGAATTATATGATTATTTGATTATTGTCTGTCTCCCCATTCCTCACCACATCACTATAAGCTCCTTGAGATTAGAGTCCTCATCTTATTTTATATCCTCAGCTTCTAACATGTTGTCTGGTGCATAGTTGTCACTAAATAAATGTTTTTGAATGAATTAAGTAATGTCAGCAGATGACTAGACATTATATGCTTCTTGAATTCTTTCCTAATCTCTTCAACCACCACACCTATCTCCCACCCTACTGACAGAGTTGAATATTTCCTCTTCTGTATGTCAATGAAAATTTGCAGGTAACTTGGGTGACCAATCGTATACCCAGGTTTACCTGAGACATCCCTAGTATATGCCTATTGTTCTTACATAACTATTAGTAAACACTCCCTTCATTCATAAGAGTATCCCAGCTTGAACTGTAATTGAAATATTCATCCTCTATAGAAGTGCATTTCTAGGGTCAATTCTAGCCAAGGTTTTACTAGTTGGTTGAGTTCTTGAGGACAAGCTTAGTTCTGGTTTATCTTTCTAACCCTGGGGCTTAGCACAGTCTCTGCCTCTCAGGGACTGCTCTTTTGAATAAAAATACATTCTTGCTATCTTGTCCCAAGGACTTTTGCATTATAAAAGAAACACATACACATAGACAAACACATGACACCTTCACTTACACAGGTTTTAGGAAAGATCGCCAACATTTTTCTTAAGATATTCTTGCTTAAGGTTTTGAAAGAGAAATTCAAGTTTATTTCTGCTAAGCCACTTATTTCTCTTTTACTTTAGGTTATTGAGTAGGAAACTTCCACAATAATAACAAGTAATTTCAATGAGGGTTTCCTATGTGTGTGAGATTTTTCCTGAATTTAAATTTGCTATTGTATGTCTACATAAGTATGGTGAAAGTATTCACACCAATGACAATTTAGACATAACTAAATATTTGATAGTATGAAATAAACATTCTATGGTCCACTAGCTAAGAGTAGTCTAACTTATCTTTTATAGGTACCTCCCATTTGCCAAGAAAATATACATTTAATCTTATAAACAGTGGGTTTTAAGTGACTTTGAAGCTTTGAATAAATCCAGGGGAAATATTTCAATGTTCTGTGTACACTAGAAATTATTTTGAAGAAAATAAATTGTAAGTCAGATAGCAAATGTGAAACTTACAAGGAAATGGGTGTCTATGTGTTGACTAATTCACTAAGGGAAAATTTTAAAGTCACAAATGGTAATGTAATCATTCCAGGAGTCATTATATGCTGCCTGAATGTCATTTCTGAGATGTTGATTACGTTTGGCTCTGTTTCCAAATGTGACTCCTAAAGTAAGCATGCAGTTATCCATAGCATTCTTCAAACCATTAGAGGTTTTTCTTATTTGTAGAAACAGAATTGAGGCAGGGCGTGGTGGCTCACGCCTGTAATCCCAGCACATTGGGAGGCCGAGGCGGGTGGATCACCTGAGGTCAGGCGTTCAAGACAAGCCTGGCCAGCATGGTGAAACCTCGTCTCTACTAAAAATACAAAATTAGCCGGCTATGGTGGCACATGCCTGTAATCCCATCTACTTGGGAGGTTGAGGCAGGAGAATTGCTTGAACTCAGGCAGTGGAGGTTGCAGTGAGCTGAGCTCATGCCAATATTGCCACTGCACTCCAGCCTGGGCAACAAGAGTGAAACTCCATCTCATATACACACAAAAAAAGAAACAGAATTGAGGTGTAACTAGAAATCTGTGGCACACTGGTCACACAAGTACCCTGGTTTTATTTATTTATTTATTTATTTATTTATTTTTTATTTATTTATTCATTCATTCATTTATTTATTTAGATGGAGTCTCACTCTATCGTCCATGCTGGAATGCAGTGGTGTGATCTCACCTCACTGCAACCTCTACCTCCCAGGTTCAAGTGATTTTCCTGCCTCAGCTTCCCAAGTAGCTGGGATTACAGGCACCCACCACCACGCCCAGCTAAATTTTGTATTTTTAGTAGAGACGGGGCTTCACCTTGTTGGCCAGGCTGGTCTCGAACTCCTGACCTCAAGCGATCTGCCCGCCTCGGCCTCTCAAAGTGCTGGCATTACATGCATGCACCACCGTGCCCGGCCAGTAGCCTATTTTTAGATGAGTGAGCACAGCTTCTGCCTAAAGACCTCATCAGTGTTCACAGGTCTATAGCCTTATCTCACTGTCAGTCTTCTTTTAAAAGGAAAACCGAACCCATGCTGGTATCATTGCCTGCTTTATGTATATTGAGAACCTATTGTGTTCTCTTCACTTTTCTAAGCATTTTCCTAACATATATTATACAGTCCCTACAATTAACTGGTGAGGTAGCTATCAATATCCTCATTTTACATATGAAGAAACTGAGGCTCAAAGGAAAGAACACACTTAGGCCAGGTTAGAACTGAAACCTGCTGGGACAGATGAGATAAGTTAGAGAAGGAAGTTAGAAATAAAATTGTTGCTGGGTGAGGTGGCTCACGTCTATAATCCCAGCACTTTGGGAGGTGAGGGCCGGCGGATCACGAGGTCAGGAGTTTGAGACCAACCTGGCCAACATAGTGAAACCCTGTCTCTACTAAAAATACATCAATTAGCTGGGCATGGTGTCGTGTGCCTGTAGTCCCAGCTACTCGGGAGGCTGAGGCGGGAGAATCGCTTGAACCTGGGAGGCGGAGGTTGTGGTAAGCCGAGATCATGCTACTGCACTCTAGCCTGGGCAATACAGCAAGACTCCATCTTAAAAAAAAAAAAAGAAATAACATTGTCCCTAATTCTCTTCTGTAATTAATATTCTTTTTATTAAGTTCTGGTTTCTCTTGCAAGTTGAGTTGGTTTTATCCTTTTCTCCTTTTGTTTATCAATTATAATTTAAAAAGAGGCTTCAGACAGGAAAATGCACACACACCCTTTCTTATCTGAAACACACCTCTCTGTTACCCTTACAGCCTGTTTTAGTTGTCTGAAGCAATTTTAATGGTTTTCTAGTCTCCCTAGTAGATGGGTTCCTGATATTTTGTAAACAGTAACGCTAGAGAGCATGTGCTTTTTTTTTTTTTTTTTGAGACAGAGTCTCACTCTGTCTCTGTCACCCAGTCTGGAGTGCAGTGGCGTGATCTCAGCTCACTGCAAGCTCCGCCTCCTGGGTTCACACCATTCTCCTGCCTCAGCCTCCCGAGTAACTGAGACTACAGGTGCCCGCCACCACGCCTGGCTAATTTTTTGTATTTACAGTAGAGACAGGGTTTCACCATGTTAGCCAGGATGGTCTCGATCTCCTGACCTCGTGATCCGCCCACCTCAGCCTCCCAAAGTGCTAGGATTACAGGCGTGAGCCACTGCGCCCAGCCCACATGTGCTTTTCAGGAGTGAATTTTAGCCTTAGCGAGAAGGATATGGTGTGGGATCTGGAAACACTTCCTGGCAGAAAGGGAGAGTCTTTCCATGGAAATATATGTATGTGTGTATATATATATATATTCTTGCTCCTTGTTGAAATGTGATGTTTCTCTTTCTCCAAATTGTTGTGGTAAGCAAATAACTTTAGCTGTTATTTTGTGTGCATGTCATGGGGGGGCGGGACGGGGGGGCAGGAATTACAGCATTATTACCACTACTGAAATATTTATGTCTAGAATTATTATAGAATTAGGGACTCTTTAAGTTTAGTCTAATCATTGTAAGCAGAAAAATCAAATGCAAAAAAAAAAAAAAAAAACCCTGTAGTTTCTTAAGAAGAAACCTCTGTATCCTAAAATGCTTTTCCTAAAGTTTACTAAATATGATGTGGTATGTGTGTTTATTTGTAGGGAGTGGTAACATCTGAACATACCAAACCAAACAGGCAAACTCTTGCACCATTGCTACCACGACATTTTACCACAAAAGAATGCCACTGCATGTGGATTCCAAGCAGGCTAAAAAGAAAAAGAACTGATTAGACCTCAGACGACCCACTAAACGGGATGACGGCCACAGCTGAGGTAGAGACACCAAAAATGGAGAAGAGTGCCTCCAAGGAAGAGAAGCAGCAGCCTAAGCAGGACAGCACAGAGCAGGGCAATGCTGATTCTGAAGAGTGGATGAGCTCTGAGAGTGACCCTGAACAGATAAGCCTTAAGAGTAGTGACAACAGCAAGAGCTGCCAACCTAGGGATGGTCAGTTGAAGAAAAAGGAGATGCCCTCCAAGCCACACCGCCAGCTCTGTCGATCTCCCTGCCTAGATCGTCCAAGTTTCTCCCAGAGCAGCATTTTACAGGATGGTAAACTTGACTTGGAGAAGGAATACCAAGCTAAGATGGAGTTTGCGCTAAAGCTGGGCTATGCAGAGGAACAGATTCAATCAGTGCTAAACAAGCTGGGCCCAGAATCACTTATTAATGATGTATTGGCAGAGCTTGTCAGACTTGGGAACAAAGGTGATTCAGAAGGGCAGATCAACTTGAGCCTGTTAGTGCCTCGTGGGCCTAGCTCCAGAGAGATTGCAAGCCCTGAATTGTCTCTTGAAGATGAAATAGACAACAGTGACAATTTGAGGCCAGTTGTCATTGATGGAAGTAATGTGGCAATGAGGTAAGCCTGGTATGTTTTTTCTCTCATTTTAAAAACCTGCCCTGAGCTCATAGAAATTTTCTTCCTTTGCAAATCATTATAAGAGGCACATGGCTATTGACTGTGGCGTGTGTTTCTGAAGGTGGCCAGAGACTAAAATGATCCTGCTCTTACCTTTTCTTCCTCCACTGAAGTTGCTGCCAATTTGTTTCTAGGTGTTCTAAAGGCAGCTTCAACATCAGTGATGATGCTTCAGAGGAGACATAGCCATTCAGCTTTGTTCCTTTTGTGGTCTGCTGTCCTACCCCTACTTTACTAGACTAATCATCCTGAAAATGCTGCTTTTATAAAGTCACTTTGCGGTTTGCTTAGGAACTTTCAGTAACTCTCAACTGTTATTATACCAAATTTTGATCCTTTTTCCTGGCTTTAAGGCTCTTTGTGATCTAGCCTTTCCCTCCTCCCATTTGATTGTATCTCTCATGCTTACTGCATTTACATCTATCTTTTTAATGGTCTCCATGAAAATTATGCTGATTTCTATCCCCACCACCTGTGTTCATGCCTTTTCCCAACTTAGAAGTGCCTCCTTTGTATCTTCATAGCCTTCAAAATGCACCATCTCCACAAAGAACTTCCTAATTTTTCTGATTCCAATGATGATCTCTGAACTACAATATCTGTGGTAGGCTGAATGATAGCCCCCCTAGAGATGTCCACATTTTAATCCCTGGAATCTCTGAATACATTATCTCATATGGTAAAATGACTTTGCAAATGTGATTAGCGTTCTTGAGATGGGAGAGATTACCCTTGTTTATCAAAGTGGGCCTAATGTAATCACAAGTGTCTTTATTAGAGGGAGGCAGCAAGATCAGAATGAGTAGAAGGAGATGCAATGGCAGAAACAAGAAGCTGGAGTGACATAAGAAAGGGACTATAAGCCAAAGAATGTGGGTGACCTTTTTGACCCATTGGACTGTTTCAGGAAAAAAAAAGAAAAAAGAATGTGGGTGGCCTCTAGAAAGCTGAAAAAGACAAGGAAACAGATTCTCTCTTTAAGCTTGCAGAAAGAACACAGCTTTGCCAACACCTTGATTTTAGATTTCTGACCTCTTGAACTTGTAAGAGAATAAATTGGTGCTATTTTCAGTCACTAAATATGTGGTAATTTGTTACAGCAGCAGTGGGAGACTAACAGTACCTATAGTGCCTTCAAATTTATTCCATACTCTCTCATATCATTTTTTTAAGCCATAGGAATCCCTTCTTCTATTTCTCAAATGAATTGTCATCCAGTCTTGGTTTAAAAAACCGCAGTAATCAGGAGCCTTTTTCCTACTGTCTCTCATTGCTTGATGGACTCACTAGAATCCTTAGACCGTAGGCAATCAGAACAAAGTGAAAAAGCCTTAGTCTAGCAAGTTTTACATTAGATTATCCCATTGTCTTTGAAAGCAGGGATCTTGCCTTGTTTTCCCACAGTATTGGGTGCTCCCACAGAGACATGAGAGAGTGGGGATGGGAGAAAGTCATGAACGATACCATTGCTGTATACAGGAAATGCTTAGCAGACTATCTGAAAGTACACTTTAGTATATAGTCCTGTTTAATGCTCACAGCAACTTTATCTTACAGATGAAAAAATAAGGCTCAGCAAAGGTAATTGACTTCCCTGAGTTTACATAGCTAGTAAGTACTAAAGTGAGAACTCGAACTTAAGTCCTCTGACTTCAAATGAATGCAATGAAACAAACAAACATTTACGAATACTGATTCTGTGCCAGATTTTTTACATATGTGAATTAATCCCCACTGGAGAGCCTATAAGAATAAACTAATTTGGTTCATCTTTGCAGGTGAAGAGATTCAGGTTCAGAGAGTTTGAGTAACTACCCAAGGTTACCCAAGCTTACAAAGCTTAAATTAAAACACTAATCTGACTCCAGTTCTCTTTTCACAATACCACACAGTATTATGTGGCTATTAGTGTTATTAAGAATATTTGGGCCAGGTATGGTGACTCACACCTATAATCCTAGTACATTGGGAAGCCAAGGTGGGAGGATCGCTTGAGCCCAGGAGTTCAAGACCAGGTTGGGCAACATGGCAAAACCCTGTCTCTACTGAAAATACAAAAATTATCCAGGTATAGTGGCACATGCCTGTAGTCACAGCTACTCAAGAAGCTGGGGTGGGAGGTTCTCTTGAGCCCGGGAGTCAAGGCTACAGTGAGCAGTGATCTCGCCACTGCACTCCAGCCTGAGTGACAGAGTGAGACCCTATTAAAAAAAAAAAGTGTGTGTATGTATGTGTGTGTGTGTGTGTGTGTGTGTGTGTGTGTGTGTGTATGGCGTATTTGCTAGTAGCAGAGAATGCATTTACAGATTTCCTTTTTCAATTTTTTAAAATAATGACATCATCATCATTATAAGGTATGTAAAGCAGGCTAGACAGCTCCTTTGTTTTAATGAGGGGAAACCAAAAGCACGGTAACAAGAAAGTTAAATGACCTGCACACAATACTACAGCAATCAGAATGATGCAGTGGGCCAGTGAAAAGCAAAGGATAATGTCTGTATTCAAAAGGCCAAAGGTGTCTCTGCTCCCCTCCTATCAGGCATAAGAAAGGGTGATTCTTGAGGGGAAGGAGTTTGGGATGTGCCCAACTCAATCTGTCACCAAACCAGACCACCTGGAACACCCTAGACTGGACCTGATTCCCAAGGCCTACCCGTTTTTTTGTTTTGTTTTGTTTTGTTTTTGGTCTGGTCTGGTTTTGTGTTTTGGAGTTGAGGATGAGAAGAACCTAAGGCATTCATGGGGACTTTGGCTTCATGGTAATGTAATATCTTCCTTTTCTCTAGACTTCTATTCAAGGGTTGCTGATCACGAAGGACACTCTGGTTCTTTTGCTTTTTAAGGAATAATGCAGAGATTAATTACTTGGATAATTAGTTTCAACATATCTGGTCTATGTCAGTAGCAAACTATTATACTGACAGGAAAATGAACTTTTATCTCCTATATGAGTTACTTTGCTAAATTAAAGGCATCTCACATGATTTAAATAGAGCCAAAAAAATAGCATGCAACCTTACTGTTAGGAGCATATTAAAATAGTGCAGAGTAGACCATGTAATTTCTTTAAAATTGCCAGTTGAGTCCTTGTTAGCATCTTTTTCTTTTGTCTGAGTAGTAAATTACTGATGAGTCCCATTTATTCTGCAATCACATTTCACATGCTCAAGGTTCAGTGCTATAGTCTACTTATGGATTTGTTATTACTATTAATCTAAATTAGGTTTGTTTTCCTCCTTAGTTAGCTGTAAGTTTATGGTGAGATTGGTATTTCTTAGACAAACTACATGTTAATGTCTGTTGTTTCTCAGCCTGTTGAATGACCCTGCATTAAAATTATGATGCTGGCCAGGCACAGTGGCTCACGTTTGTAATCCTAGCACTTTGAGAGGCCAAGGCAGGCAGACTGCTTGAGCCCAGGAGTTCAACACCAGCCTGAGCAGCATGACAAAACCCCATCTCTACTACAAATACCAAAAAATAACCCGGCGTGGCGGTGCGTGCCCGTAGTCCCAGCTGCTTGGGAGGCTGAAGTGGAGAATCACTTGAGCCCAGAGAGGTTGAGGCTGCAGTAAGCCATGATCACGCCACTGCACTCCACCCTGGGTGACAGAGCGAGACACTGTCTCCAAAAATAAAATAAAATTATGGGCCAGGCCTGATGGCTCACACCTGTAATCCCAGAACTTTGGGAGGCTGAGGCAGCAGGATCACTTGAGGTCAGGAGTTTGAGACCAGCCTGGCCAACAAGGCGAAACCTCATCTCTACTAAAAATAAAAAATTAGCCAGGTATGGTGGTGGTGTGCCTGTACAGGAGAATCGCTTGAACCCAGAAGGCAGAGGTTGCAGTGAGCTGAGATTGTGCCACTACACTCCAGCCTGGGCGACAGAGTGAGACTCCGTCTAAAAAAAAAAAAAAACAAATTATGATGCTTTGTTTGCCATTAGCAGCATTTGGTTAACATTTGCAGTAGTAGTGCACCTGTGGTCCACATACTGATTGATATATGCTAAGATCCTAAAGGGTACATTCATTCTGAGAGCTGTCTCTTTTGGGAAGAGAAATCCATTTCAGAGGAATGAAGGCTTTGAAATGTAAATGCAACCATATTCTTTGTAAAGTCTAGGAGAAGCCCAAACATTTGAAGCCCAGAGAAAACAACTGCAGAGGGAGGGGCTAATGACCTATCTGCTAAGCTGAATTTGGCTTGGGAACCTGGATCATGAGAGGTTCCTAAGCCAGTTTACAAGACAAAGTGAACTGTAGTGTCACCAAGATACTCTGTGACTTGCAGGTCCTAGGGTTTTCAGCGTTTATAGATTGCAAAAGGACATTGTATGGGTTTAAGCAAAAACAAGCCACTTGAAAAGCATTACTTTATTTTCCTCTTTTTAAAAAAAATATTTATTCATTCCTTAAATGTTTGGGGGGCAATAAACTTTGCATACTTGGCTGGTTGTGTAGGTATTCATTGCCACCTTGATAAATGTTGAAAGTGCCATCTGATTCTTATTGGGCATTTGGTGTGCCTGATGAAATGCTTCAGTGGCTTACTTTTAATATATTTTAATAGGATGCTATAGGTATGTTACATTTTTTCTTAACATAATTCTCAGTATGTTAGGAAATTGATATCAGAATATAAATATATCAAAATATTAAGTGTTTGTCTCTGTATTGTAGTAAAACAGTTGGATTTTGGGGTTTTTTTCTTTATATTTTATGTATTTTCCACGTTTTATACTATAACTATATTACATTTTTTAATGATTTTATATATATATATATATATATAGAGAGAGAGAGAGAGAGAGACAGGGCCTTGTTCTGTCACCCAGGCTGGAGTGCAGGGGCATGATCATAGCTCACTGTAACCTCAAATTCCTGGGCTCAAGTGATCTTCCTGCCACAGCCTCCCGAGTAGCTAGGACTACAGGAGTGCACCACTATACTCAGCTAATTTTTTGTAGAGGCAGGGTCTCACTATGTTGCCAAGGCTGAAAAAAAATTTTTAAACACAGAATTTGGCAGTATAAAATATAAAATTGGCTGGGCGTGGTGGCTCACGCGTGTAATCCCAGCACTTTGGGAGGCTGAGGTGGGCGGATCACAAGGTCAGGAGTTCACGATCAGCTTTGGCAACTCGGTGAAACCCCATCTCTACTAAAAATACAAAAATTAACTGGGCGTGTTGGCTTGTGTTTGTAATCCCAGCTACTTGGGAGGCTGAGGTAGGAGAATCTCTTGAACCCGGGAGGCAGAGGTTGCAGTGAGCCGAGATGGTGCCACTGCACTCCAGCCTGGGTGACAAAGGAAGACTCTGTCTCAAAAAATAAATAAATAAATAAATAAATAAATAAATAAATAAATAAAATATAAAGTTGCAGTATCTAACAGCAAATTTTACTCTCATATTTATTTCTGGACTTAGACCGTTTGGGAGAAGATCATAGTACTGCAGAGCCGAGGAAATTCCATCCCCTTCCTTCAAATCCCCTCTAATGGCAATTCTGATAATTTTCCCAAGTTCTGTTATTCTATATACTTACCAGCACTGTAGCAGTGGGAAAATTCACAGCTGAACAACTTCTCTTCCACAGTTCATCCAATATTAACCATTTAAGCATAATTCTTGCATAATTTCCCCATTGTTCAACTTTTTAGGAGTTAGTGGTAGTTATCTCTAAGGCTACGTTGGAGTATATTGACAACTAAATATATTTTCCTTTTGTTTCTTAAGTGCTTTCAACTTTCAGTTGAGTAGTATAATTGCTTTATGGTACTCACTGGAGAGCTTTAAACATGATTAGCATATGCTTGGAAATGTTAATAAAAGCATTTAATAAATTTTTGCAATTTGCCTCAAGAGTGATAAGACAGTGGGAAGTCTTGCAGTACAAGAATTGATGAAGCCCCTGATATTATATATGAATTCATCGAAAGGGAACAATATGTTGGAGGTCATTTTTGTTGTAGCTGAGTGAGCTAGTGCCAGTGAGAAGGTGAGGAATCAAAAGCGAGAAGCCCCATCACATTGTCTTAATTAGCCTTCTAACAAAACAATTATTTCCTTCTGATCAGTCTTAACAGACAATAGCCACTTGATTGTAGTAGAATTGGTACACGTATGCCCATTTGTTCCTATCCAAGCTGTTTAATTAACTATAATTTAGTGTGGTTTATGTATATGTCAGAGCACTAGATACCACGCTAAGAGATCATAATTTTCACAGCCAAACAAGGCACAAATCTAGTGCACCTTTTCCCAATTTATCTGCAAATTTTCCCTCTTCCAAATTCTAGTTAAATGAATTCTGTTTGGCTTTTTAAGTTTTCACAATGTTTATTCCTATAAGTAATTCTGACAGTTTCTTCTCCTTTATATCATGTTCTGATTATAGAAAGAATACTTGAATTTTTTTTTTCTTTTTAATAAAGATGGGGTCTCGCTATGTTGCCGAGGCTGGTCGCAAATTCTCCCACCTTGGCCTCCCAACCTGCTGGGATTATAGGCCTGAGCCGCTGCACCCGGCCAGAAATAGTTGATTTTTTAAGGATATTTTGGAATTAGAGGAAGAAAATAGATCACTTATAATCCTCTCACACAGAACAACAACATTTATTAATATTTTGATGTACTTATTTCTCATATTTTTTCTAAGCTTATACATAGGTTTTCTTCTACAAAATTGGTGTTACATTATATATAGTCTGTATTTTTTCTTTTCTCTTTCAGAATTATGAGCATTTCCTACATCTTAAAATTTTCATGAATATGATTTTTGTTGGTGCATTATATTAAATGGATATATGTAATAAGAATTTTCAGTGAGCATTTATGTGCATATCTTTTTTGCTGTTGATGTTATTTTTGAAGCTTTATATATATGTGCTTAGGACTTATCCCGAATTAATACTCTATCTAAACTTTAAACCTCTAGTAATACCTTTACTTTTTTCATTTTTTGTGAATATCGCAATCTTTGAAAAGAAAGTGGTAGGAGAAACAGAAAGAGAAGAGAGAAAATGGAACTAGTGATAGGAGATAGCCATCAGGGCTGCAATAAATTGGGAGTTGTTACTAACCATCTGTGGCCTTGAATGAAGTTTGTAATACTAATGGCAAATTTGTAACAATTAAATAAAAATAACTTGATTTGCTCTTTAAAAAGCATGTTACTTGGCATTATCAAGAAAGTAAATGTCATAGCTGGCCACAGTGGCTCATGCCTGTAATTCTAGCACTTTGGGAGGCCAAGGCATGCGGATCACCTGAGGTCAGGAGTTCGAGACAAGCCTGGCCAAAATGGCAAAACCCTGTCTCTACTAAAAATACAAAAATTAGCTGGGCATGGTGGTACGCACCTGTAGTTCCAGCTACTCAGGAGGTGGAAGCAGGAGAACCACTTGAACCCGGGAGGCGGAGGTTGCAGTGAGCTGAGATCGTGCCACTGCACTCCAGCCTAGGTGACAAAGTGAGACAAAAAAAAAAAAAAAGAAAGAAAGAAAAGAAAAGAAGCGAAAGGAAGAAAGAAAGAGAGAAAGAAAGAAAAGAATGTAAATGTCTATTATTAATACCTTGACACTAAGAAAAATCCTGCTTTAGGTATTTCTTTGCTATCTATTATCAATCTTCTCTCCTCTTATTCTGTATCTTCCTAAAGCCATGGGAATAAAGAAGAATTCTCCTGCAGAGGAATACAACTTGCGGTGGATTGGTTTCTAGATAAAGGCCATAAAGATATTACTGTATTTGTGCCTGCATGGAGAAAGGAGCAATCCCGCCCTGATGCACCAATTACAGGTACTATGTCAAATAAGGTATTTCTTCTCATCTAGAGGCAAATCTGGAAAGATAGTTTGGGGATGGTCCCAATTTAGATATTTATTTTTCAAAGTTGTTAAGTATATTTAAAGTATTTGTATTAAGTGTATATTTGAAAAAAGATTCAAAGAAAGCCACCATTATTTTGTAGCATCTGACAGTTAAATAAAGAAAACTTCAATTCAGCAAAAGATAAAGCACATAGTTTTTTTAAAAAAGGAGTGCTTTTCTATTTGACCATAGACTTCAGACTAAAGGGAGATGAATCTGGTTATGAGCATGACTAAGTTTTCAAGAGAGTAAAAACACCATGGTGGACAATGGATCTCATTCTGTACCAAAGAAGTGATTGTGGGGTTTGCAAATTAGGGAATAAAAGAGAGAGAGAGAAAAGTCCCACAGCAGTCAGAGCCAACTTATCCATGAGACACAGTAGGTCTGGCACCTAGGGCGAATGATATTGTTAAGGTCCCATGGAAATGTCTTAATTTTATTTTCTTCTCACATTAGAAGAAAAAATTGAATATAATAGCAATGCATGTAAAATGATGTATCTAGCTGGGTTATCCTTGGCTTTATACCAAAGCAATTGAAAATCAAATTTTTAATATTTATATTTGTTTGAGACAGGGTCTCACTCTGTCACCTAGGCTAGAATGCCATGGTGTGATCATGGCTCACTGCAGCCTCCACCTCCCTGGGCTCAGGTTTTTCTCCCACCTCAGCCTCCTGAGTAGCTGGGACTACAGGTGTGTACCACCATGCCTGGCTAATTTTTGTATTTTTAGTAGAGATTGAGTTTTGCCATGTTGCCCAAGCTGGTATTGAACTCCTGGGCTCAAGCTATCTGCCCACCTCAACCTCCCAGAGTGCTAGGATTACAGGCATGAGCCACCATGGCCAGCCAATATTTAACATTTCTTATGGAGGAAGAGGTCCAGGAAAGCAAAAATGCCTAAGGTTTTCAAAAGTCATCATGCAATCCTAATGGCAGAGGGGTCTCTACATTCATTTACAACAGTCTTCTGAGCATCAGCTGTTGCCTGATGTGCCTAATGAGAAAGTCCCATGAATGACTGTCTGAGCTGTGTGTGAAGCTATTTGCCATCTGCTGAACAGGCTCTTGAGCCTCCATCTGAGAATAGATCCTAGCCCTGCTCGAGCCCAGCCAGCAAGCTTTCTTGCCTCAGCAACTAGTAGACCAAAAGGAAAGTGGATCAGCACTCAGTTGCTATATCTTGATGTTTCACCCTAGTTTTGGCCTTCACTCAGGCAGAAGCCAAAAATGTAAGTCCCTAGGAGAGATGCTTTAGTTTCCTCCTGGCAGACACATCCTCTGTACTTCCCTGTTAGAAATCAACAACCAAAAAGCTGGTGCTTTGGCCAAAGGGCAAAACAAGCATCAAGAATGCTAAGATATCAGTGTCACTCTCACTCTCCATGTAGTTTTTAAAACTTAGATGTCATTGAATCCAGTTCCTTCATTTTATCAAAAAGAAGACTGAAGTCCAAAGGGGAAGATGACTTGCCTAAGGTCATAATCCAGATTGATATCATAGCCAGGAACAGGGCCTACTTTCCCTCTAAGGGTAAATAATATCTTCATCCAGTACCAACTTTTACATTTTTAATATTGGGGTAATACTGTTAATTTCCAAAGATGATTTCTGCTCTGTGGCATATAATCATATTTTGACAGATCAAGATATTCTACGAAAACTGGAGAAGGAAAAGATTCTCGTCTTCACACCATCCCGAAGAGTCCAAGGCAGGAGGGTTGTCTGCTATGATGACCGGTTCATAGTCAAACTGGCTTTTGATTCTGATGGCATCATTGTGTCCAATGATAACTACCGAGACCTTCAAGTTGAAAAGCCAGAATGGAAGAAGTTTATAGAGGAGCGGTTGCTGATGTATTCTTTTGTGAACGACAAGTGCGTTTCTTTCCAGTAGGCCTATATTCAAGTTATCAGTAGGAATAGATTTTACTTTAATAAACATTTACCAAACACTTACTGTGTATCATACATTTTGCTAGTTGCCACAGACATAAAAGGATGAATAAGGAAGAGGACTCACCCTTACGGGACTCAAAGTGTAGTAGAGGAGTGAAAGAGACAACCACAGTGTTTTGTTATAAGAGCTACAGTTAAAAGTTGTTTTTTTTAAATTGCTTTGTCTATGTGAAGTAATAGAAAAAGGCATCCCAGAGGAGATGACATTTCAGATCAAGTTTACAGATGGAGGAAAGGGGGCTGCTAGGCATGAGAGGTGAGGGGGACATCATGAATAAAGTTATGAAGGTGTGAAAGTGGGTAGCATGTTGGTGGAACCAGCAGACATGCCAGTATGGCTCGAACATGTAGTTCATGGAAGAATGATGAACAGGGAAAATCATCCTTTCTATGTGATAAAGTGGCAACAAAGGGAAGAACTGCTAGATTAGCAGAGGATAGACTTGAGGCACGAAGGGCAATTAGAAGGCTGTGATAACGGTACAGGCAAGAGGTAATGAAAATCTGAACTCCTAGTAAGGAGTAGGGGATAGAAAGGAAGACAGTCACCTCTTGCTTACTTGCTTTCAGATTTATGCCTCCAGATGATCCATTAGGACGCCATGGCCCAAGCCTTGAAAATTTCTTAAGAAAGAGACCCATTGTTCCTGAGCATAAGAAGCAACCATGTCCTTACGGTGAGTACCTATGTACAAAACTGAGTTCTGTACCACCAGAAACATAAGGATTCTTCTGTGAATACTTTTCTCTTCCAGGTTTCCCTTTCAAATGGGAAATCTTGGCTTGTCCACTGTCTTTGAGTTAAAGTTTGTGTCTTCATGTACACCGTTAGGTATTTAAAGAAAAATTTTAGAAACTGAATGAGGAAAAGGTAGCTAGAATTGAAGGGAAGATCAGTTGTCACTTGTGACAATAGCACATGTGCTCTAGCTGCCTAAGTCCTGAACTATGTTGCTGGAAGCAGGGAAATGAACAAACCTATATGGCCTGTGGAAGCAGAAAGGGCAATACTAAACTGAGTTTGGCCCCAAGATGAACCTGTGTCTCAGGCAGGTGACTGCTGTCAATTAATACTAACCTTTCCTTTAGATCTGTCCTTTCCAGTTTTTTTGTTTGTTTGTTTTGAGACAGTCTCGCTCTGTCACCTAGGCTGCAGTGCAGTGGTGCAGTCTTGGCTCACTGCAACCTCCACCTCCCAGGTTAAAGCGATTCTCCTGCCTCAGCCTCCCCAGTAGCTGGGATTACAGGTGCACGATGCCAAGCCCAGCTAATTTTTATATTTTTAGTAGAGACAGGGGTTTCACCATGTTGGCCAAGCTGGTCTCAAACTCCTGACTTCAAGTGATCCATCCACCTCGGCCTCTGAAAGTGCTGAGATTACAGGCATGACGCACCCAGCCCCTTTCCAGTTTTCTTTTTTTTCTTCTTTTTTTAATAAATATACTTTTCTAGAGTGTTTTCATGCTCTTATCCCAGTCCCTCTGATACAAGGTTTGTGCACCTGACATTGTGACAGGGCTGCTTGATCTGAGGCTACTTTGAATGTCTGTTTTTTTGGATGATCATTTGTTTTGTGGGTTGTTTTGGTTTTTGTCCTCAATTAACATTTAAGTCACAGAGTACCTTCATATTCATTATCTCATTTAATCTTTACAATGACCCTATAATATAGGCATGATGATGAACTTTGTTTACAGAAGAGGAAAATGAGGCTCACAAAATAAAGTCACTTACCAAGGTCACATAGCTAGTAAGGGACGTAGCTGGAATTGAAATTCAGATCTGACTGGACTCCAAACCTGTGCTCTTTGCACTGCACTGTGCTGCTTTCTGTTACTCTATGCTGCTTCAGCATGCAAATTATGCCTAGGCAAAGTTGTACATTATCGAAAACTTAAAACTGCTCAACTGCTCAGCTTTAGCTTTTTTTTTTTTTTTTTCTGAGACAGGGTCTTGCTCTGTCACCTGGGCTGGAGAGCAGTGGCATGATCATGGCTCACTGCAGCCTTGACCTTCCAGGCTCAAGAATTCTCCCACCGCAGCCTCCTGAGTAGCTGGGACTACAGATCTGCACCACCATGCCCAGCTAATTTTGTTTATATTTTTCTTTACAGACGGGGTTTCACAATGTTGCCCAAGTTGGTCTTGAACTCCTGGGCTAAAGTGATCCACCCACCACAGCCTCCCAAATTGCTAGGACTACGGACAGGAACCACTGCATCCAGCCAGCTATTAGCTTTTATGCTGCAATTTTCTCCATAGCTTTCCACTTTCTCTCTCCCATCACAGTGTGTGATGCCGCCTTGGTGTTGTCTGTCTCTCATCTTTGTGGACAGTTAATTTTCTGCCTTTACCCCAAACAGTAAAACCCTAACCTGAGTGACCAGATTGTTACAACGGTTTCTGGCACGGAGGGTTCCATCACTGAGAGAGAGTCTTACCCCAAGGCATTATTTTTCAGGCAAAAAATGCACCTACGGCCACAAGTGCAAATACTACCATCCGGAGCGGGCCAACCAACCCCAGCGTTCGGTGGCTGATGAGCTCCGCATCAGTGCCAAACTGTCCACAGTGAAAACTATGAGTGAAGGCACCCTGGCCAAGTGTGGCACAGGGATGTCTAGTGCCAAAGGTGAGATAACCTCAGAGGTCAAACGTGTGGCCCCCAAGCGCCAATCAGATCCCAGCATCCGGTCTGTGGCTGTGGAGCCTGAGGAATGGCTGTCCATTGCCCGTAAGCCTGAGGCTAGTTCTGTCCCCTCGCTTGTGACTGCCCTAAGTGTTCCCACAATCCCACCCCCAAAAAGCCATGCAGTGGGTGCACTCAACACCCGTTCGGCCAGCAGCCCAGTGCCAGGATCCTCCCATTTCCCCCACCAGAAGGCCTCTTTGGAGCATATGGCCAGCATGCAGTATCCTCCCATCCTGGTTACCAACAGCCATGGGACCCCTATTAGCTATGCTGAGCAATACCCAAAGTTTGAATCCATGGGGGACCATGGCTACTATTCAATGTTAGGTGACTTCTCCAAACTGAACATCAACAGCATGCATAATCGAGAGTATTACATGGCTGAAGTAGACCGGGGGGTGTATGCCCGGAATCCTAATCTCTGTCCTGACAGCCGTGTGAGCCATACCAGGAATGACAACTATTCCTCTTACAACAACGTGTATTTGGCTGTAGCTGATACCCATCCTGAAGGCAATTTGAAGCTGCATCGCTCAGCATCCCAGAACCGACTTCAGCCTTTTCCTCATGGTTACCATGAAGCCTTAACACGAGTGCAGAGCTATGGCCCAGAGGATTCTAAGCAAGGCCCCCACAAACAGTCAGTCCCCCACTTAGCTCTGCATGCCCAGCACCCAGCAACTGGAACACGTTCCAGCTGTCCTGCAGACTACCCCATGCCTCCCAATATCCATCCTGGGGCAACCCCCCAGCCAGGCCGTGCCCTGGTGATGACTCGGATGGATAGCATTTCTGACTCCCGCCTCTATGAGAGCAACCCCGTGAGGCAAAGACGACCTCCCCTGTGCCGGGAACAGCATGCCAGCTGGGACCCGCTGCCCTGTGCAACTGACTCCTATGGCTACCACTCCTATCCCTTGAGTAACAGCCTCATGCAACCATGTTATGAGCCAGTCATGGTACGGAGCGTGCCTGAAAAGATGGAGCAGCTTTGGAGGAATCCTTGGGTTGGAATGTGCAATGATTCCAGGGAGCATATGATCCCAGAGCACCAGTATCAGACCTACAAGAACCTCTGCAATATTTTCCCTTCTAACATCGTCCTTGCGGTGATGGAGAAGAATCCCCACACAGCAGATGCCCAGCAACTGGCAGCCTTGATTGTTGCTAAGCTTAGGGCTGCACGTTGATATGACATAGTACTTATTTCTTTATACAAATATGAATATTAATACTAACAATACACTAACACAATAATTATAGTAACTAATAATTTGTGTTGCGCTTTACAAGTTACAGAGTGTTTATATCATTTAAGCGCATAACAACCCTGTGAGGTACGTCTTACTAACATCCTCTTTTATAGAGAAGGAAGGTGAAGCTCAGTGAAATTAAGTGGCTAGCCAGGGTCACACTGCTAGCAAATGACTAAGTCAAGACACACACCCAAGTCCTCTAAATCCAAGTCCTATGCCCCTTTGCACTGCACCATGCAGGTAATGGAGGACAAAACCCAGGGGGAGAGGTCTAGACGTAAGAAACCCCAGAGGATTCCATTACCAGAGTTTTCCTTTTTTTGTTTCTTTCTTTCTTTTTTCTTTTTTTTTTTTTTTTTTTTGAGACAAAGTCTTACTCTGTTACACAGGCTGGAGTGGCACTATCTCTGCTCACTGCAACCTTCGCCTCCAGGGTTCAAGCGATTCTATGACCTCAGCCTCCCAGGTAGCTGGGATTACAGGCGTGCACCACCATGCCCGGCTAATTTTTGTATTTTTAGTAGAGACGGGGTTCCACCATGTCGGCCAGGCTGGTCTCAAACTCCTGGCCTCAAGTGATCCACCCGCCTCGGCCTCCTAAAGTGCTGGGATTACAGGTGTGAGCCACCGCGCCCAGCCTACCAGAGTTTTCATAGTCACATATTCTATATTACAAAGTATGGATGATATATCCAATTTAGAGAGCAAAAGCATCAGGATCAGATCATATGTTGAATTAACCTTTTAGGTTTTTTCTAATAGAAATATTTAAAACTATTTAAAAGTAAATGCATACTTTATTGCATGGATATCTGATCATTCAATCTTTATTAACGAAGCTATAGGGTCACATTGAAGCTTCTAGAACTATATTTTAAATCTATTATTAGCAATTATATTGCATGTATGAATATATATATTTGGTTTGAGATGTGTGTGTATCTCTGTATAACCTTTTATATAGTGATAATGAGAGGGTAGGCTCTACACAGTCCTTCGTCTATAGCTGTATAGGTCACTAATCTGACTTGATGATTTTAAGTCACATTTCATAGTTTCAAGTAGTTATGAGAGTGAAAATTATATGGCAATATTTGAACATTGCTTTCTTAGGCACCAGAGCAAAGCAGCTCTGTTTCCTTTGCACATTTTACCTGCCAACATTTATTAACAGTTCTTAGCTTCCAAGTCTCTTCACCTTAGCAAATCAGGGATCAGGTTGCAGTCTTCTGCAGAGGAACTGATGGTTAAGCTCAAGTTCCAAGCATAGTATGTGTGTGCTACACAAGCTCAGAAGAGTTTGACAAGGACCAGGGGACTTACTACCACAATCCACTTCCCTTATCCCAGGAGAGATGGCCAAACACATGTGGCATTAAATGGTGAATAAAAAAGCTCCACTCAAGGAGGGACTATTGGATGCTCTTTGGACTTCCAACCTATGCAGTATTCAACATCACTGGATGAAATGTAATGGAGGACAGTGCACAGCCATGTATCCACTTTCTCTTCCTGTCCACCCTTTGGGTAATAAGGTCAATCATTGGTGGAACAGAATTTCTCTAGGAAACAAAACCAGGGGATTTTCTATGTGGAAAAAGGAAGTTTCCAAAAGGGGATACTGCATCTTTACTAATAGCTGGCTCAGTTATGCACTTTAAATCCACGCAAAGAGAGTGCACTTGCTGTTAAATAATTGTTAGATGAGTTACTAGAAGGCAGGACTTTCAGTTTGGGCGACACCATTTGTGCAACTTGTATCTTGCTCAGGGTGGAAAACTTCATAGCTAAATGCCTCTAGAAGAGGTGTTTATTGTTTTTTTTAAGCTGCACTAAATGAATTCCCTTTTTGAATCCACTGTATATTTCAATATTTCAAACCATGACCAGCTCACTATTTCCTGAGCTGGAACTTGCTAACTTCTATGATCGTTTTTTCATGAAAGTTGAGAAGGCCGGGCCTTGGCCTTTTGTTTCTTCATGAGAAGGTGTGACACTGCCTATAAATGTTTCTTACTGTGAAACACTCTGAATGTGAGGCTGTAGTCAGGGTTGTTTCTGGTGGTTTGATAATGGCTTGCATGCTGCTTTCTGGCTTTCTGTCTCTGTCCAAGTTGATCAATACTGCATCTTAACCAATGTTTCACTTCAGTTAACCACAGCTTTACATTCTATCTCCTATCCTCTGATCTTCGTATACCCCAGCATATTGAAAAAGAGTAAAAGTATTTTCTATCAGGTAGGTCCACAGAGTGACAGTTGCCACTGCAGTGCTTGCTATTTCACACAAACACCATTTCATACCTTCAACTTCTTGGACTTTCTAAATTGGACCTGTGTCTAAATCAGGGTATTTGACAATCTCAGATGATGCTACTGCCTATGTGCCAGTTAGTTCATCTTCCTACCAAAATCGTCAATGGCACCACAGTATCCACGAGCTGTACAATTTACAGGGAAGCACAAGATTAATCTTGTCACCTATAATTCGTCTTGAACATGTTCATATTTAGTACTCAGAAAACGTGTAAGCTCCTCCCAATACAGAAAATTCTTTTAAGGCAGCATATGTATTTCTGATTTACTAAAAATGATTGTCATCCTCCTCTCATTCTTCTTTTTGGTATGAACCAAAAGCGGCTAGGAGCAATGCCTCAAATAACCAGAAATGACCTTTTGTTGATACAAATTGTATCTCTTTTTTTCCTGATTGTATAGAAACAAATGTACAAAACTCATCTTAAGCTAGGTTTGGCACTGAATTTTCACCATGAGGTTTGTGGCACTGTGTGTCACAGGGAAGTAGCTCAGGGGTTGTGAGGGAGCTTTTATTTCTAAAGGGCAGTAGTAATTTATAGACAAAAACAATTTTTCAAGGCCTCTTTATTACCAGTGCACAGTTATCACGTGTACAATTTCAAGCATTATATTGCATAAGTTCTCTTTAGCCTATTAAATTTAATATGTCCTTGAAAAAGGGATTTTGTGTAAAAAGTGTCAGTGTTAGTGACTCATCTGCAAGAATCTATAAATGGAGCTATACAAATATGAATACATAAATACAGCATGGTTCTTAGTTATTAGAGAAACATTTTCTTTATATTGAGGTCTAGGCACTTCTTGACTTTCCATTTTGTCTGTAATTATAAAACAGCAAGTAACAAAGAAGCATTGGGACCCCCTCGGCTGCCTTGATAATAAAATCAAGCTTCCTTCATGGGGCTAAGCATGTGTCCTTCAGGATACTTACCTCTAAGCGCTCAGCAGGGGTTACTACAAAGCGTTTTGTGTGGTTTTCAAGAAACAGTGTGTTTTGCAAGAGGTGCTTTGTAATTTTAATTATTTCACTGATTTTCTGACCTCATAGCAAGTCTGTGCCTGTTGAGGCCTTCAATTTTGTAGCTTTTCTGATTTTTTTTCTTCTTTTTGTGATTTTGTTGTTTTCATTTTGATCTAAAGGAGAAGTGTGACCCCGGAGTGGCATGGTCAATCCAGGGCACCCTTTCTGTAAGACAACTCAAAGGAAAAGAAGCCTTTTCAAAGGTAATATCGAGCCATTGCACTCTCTCTTAAGGTGCCAGGTATGGAAGGGAGAATGACAGATGCCTTATGGAAATGGTCTACGAAACTTTTCTTCTTCTAAGTAATAAAGCACATAGCATGATTCTCTCTCCCTCTCTCTCTCTCTCTCTCTCTGCCCACCCCCTGCTAGTTTCCTGGAGAATACTTCTCTAAAATTCATTTTTTTCTATTTTAGAATAAATTATCTTTATACAGTAATTTAAACACTGATTTCCATTAACCTTTGGCCCTGAGTTTTCTTCTAACATAGAAGAATTCATTTTGAGAGGCACTCAGTTACCATTCTATCTGTGCTGTAAGTATGGGACTTTGTACAAATGCCCTTTTTGAGGGCCAAAAATTTCAATACACTTTGTTCTACTTTGTGAACCAGGTCTGGATCTGCACAGAGAAAGTAATGCTGAGCTGTCGAGTCCGCTCAGGTCTCCCTCCTAACCCTCCTCTGCCTTCCCCTAGTTTGTTTATCCTCAGGTCTGACACTGAGGAGTGCGTAGTCTTCAACTGAAATGGCACTATAGTTAGTTCTCATTGGAAACAAACAAGTGTATTTCTGGAACCTGCTTGTCTAAAATAGCCAATGCCTTTGTAAAGACAGCATATTCAATATCTATTGTATGGTAGCTAGCTATATACATAGATTGACTATTTTTAGTCCTGGTTTGTGTATTGTTGAGCTATAGTAGTTTGCTTTATCCATTTGTGGGATTAAACAATACTGTTTATTGGTTGTAAACTTTTATAAAATCTCTTTGGGTTTTTTGTTTGACCCAAATATAATGTAAGTCTCAATGACAAAATACACAAAGTTAACCAGAGGTGAGTGAAAATATAGCCCTTCCCCAGTTTTGTCTGTCCCTATAATGCACGTGCATTGCTTTGTAATATGTTCTCACTAGCATGAATGTGCTATGACTACTTCATGAGGTTTTAATTTGTTTCACCTATCATTGTGATGGAAAATGCTGTATCGCTGACAACAATGAACTGTAACCAGTTATTTACTGCATAAACTATTTGTCTACTGACCACTCATGGCTCTGTTTCTTTAAGAATACCAACAACAATGGGCCGGGCGTGGTGTCTCATACCTGTAATCTTAGCACTTTGGGAGGCAAAGCAGGAGGATCACCTGAGGTCAGGAGTTCTAGACCAGCCTGGCCAACATGGCGAAACCCCGTCTCTACTAAAAATACAAAAATTAGCCGGGTGTGGTGGCACGCACCTGTAATCCCAGCTACTCGGGAAGCTGAGGCAGGAGAATTGCTTGAACCCAGGAGTTGGAGGTTGCAGTAAGCCGAGATTCTGCTACTGCACTCCAGCCTGGGCGACAGAGACTCCATCTCAAAAAACAAAACAAACAAAAAACAAACAAAAACCAACAACAACAAAAGCCATACCACACATACATATACATATACTCTAGTTTGCTCCTAAAGTATTAGATTTATGTCCTTGCGACTTATATTGGGATAAACCATAAAGCCAGGGATTTCCCCAGATGTGTTCATCTGAATTTTACCACAGTAAGTATATGTCCTCAAATTTTTGAAGACTAACAGTTCCAAGTGCTAATCGAACTGGCGTTCCCTGCAGGGCAGGGCTGGGCCTGCTTTTGCCCACCAGTCAGAGCCAAGTGGTGGGCCCAGGGCCCAGACTTAATTTTTGTATGCAGCCTATAGTTTCTCCCCTGAATAGCCTCAGGCCCAAAGATACATCATCTGCTGTCTCAGCCAGAATATCAGAGCCAAAAGGTGCCTCCTATCCTACACTTCACACTCAGAGTGCTCAGCTGCATCCACCCCTTCAGGGTATAGTACATGAACTGAGGCTCCAAGAGCACTGAAGAGATTTGACCAAGGCTAAACAGAATTAGTGGCAAAGGCAGGACTGGAAGCCCAGGCCTCATGACTCCCAGGCCGGTAAGCCCTTTATCATAGTGGAGTTGGTTCTCTCTCTGGAGCCTCCTACCTACCCTCCACCGCACTCCAGGCCAGTCTCATTCTAAAGGTAGAGGCAGCTATGATGGTTGCAGCAGAGCCCAGCCTACAAGCCTTTGGAAGAGGCTATTTGTGAATCTGAGAATCTTTTTTTTGTTATCATCCTCCATGGGACTAAGAGTGCTCGTCTCTCCCCACCTTTTTCCTCTTCTGTCTCTTACTCTTCCTGTCACATTCCTCGGGCATACACGTATCAAGTTCTTACTGAGTACCGGCTGGGGGGGTCTGGCCTATACTAAGCTAGGCAGACAGAAGAGGAACAGTCCATCTTGGGGAACTTGCACTCTAGTGGGAGAACGAAGCACACTCAGAGAATAGAGTAAGAAATTAAGACTTCCTTGGAGGGCAGTGGCAGCATGAGGGTAAGTAGAGTGGTAAGAACTACTAGAATTCCAAAAAGGGACAATCAACAAATGTCCAGTCGTTCTGCCCTAATCTCAGGTGGAAAATGAACTAGTCTGGTCATATCCCTCTCCACCTCCCCTCGGGCCTCATGTAATACCAAGTCCTTCACATCACCATGTTCCAATTATCCTGTACCCTGCACTTGTGCCCCCAACCATGCTTTCTCAACCTCTCCAGACTTTGACCTTCCTTCTACTCCTTGTTCTGATTAGTACTCTTGCCTTTAAAGATCCAGTGGCAATGTCCAACCTCCTGGTCAAGCCATTGTTAGTCCCTCCCCACAGTGGGCCTTGCAGGAATATTGAGCAATACCTCTTAGCTCTTGTCACTCACTTTGGCACACCGTCTCTACCACAAAACAGGGAGTTCCTTGGGCACGGGAACCATGTTATTTGCCACTGATGAATTACCTATCAGAGGGGACTCTCTGAATTACTGTTGTTGAATAATAATATAATCTATGCTCCCTTTCCTTGACCCCTATCCTTGTTTCCCAGTTAAATGTGTGCATTTCAGGCTGGGCACAGTGGCTCACACCTATAATCCCAGCACTCTGGAGACTGAGACAGGAAAATCACTTAAGGCCAGGAGTTTGAGGCCAGGAGTTTGAGACCAGCCTGAGCAACACAGGAAGACCCTCATCTCTACAAAAAATTCAAAAGTTAGCCAGGTGTCATGGTGCACACCTGTAGTCCCAGCTACTCAGGAGGCTGAGGTGGGAGGATTGCTTGAGCCCAGTAACTGGAGGCTGCAGTGGCCCATGATTGTGCCACTGCACTCAAGCCTGTGCAACACAGCAAGACCTTGTCTCCAAAAATAAAAACAAAAATGAAAATTGTGTGCAGTTCAGACTTTCTAATCAGTCTATCTCTAATCAGACAGAAAACATCCATGGGCACTAGGCTAAGTAAGGTTGCTTCCTGACAGCTCCACTCCCCACCCACCAACCCCTGCCGTCCGAAGCCCTTCAACCTGGCCTCAGAACTTCCAGGTTCCAGAAGGACACCAGCCAACAATGACCTTTGGCTCTTACTCTCTGGACCTGGACTAGAAATGAGCTCATGTAGTCTGCTTCTCATCTTTAGATCAGTCTTTGAGGGCCAGGGGAAAGCATAACAATGGGTTATTTATATAGAGACCTCAGTCCCAACTTCAAGGTTTGTCAACCCTAGCATGAACCTACACCACTCACACATACAAAGCATAATATGCTTTAAACAACACTTTCCCATCTATTGTGTTTCAATCCTTATAAGCATGTGAGGCAAATATTATCTCCCTGCAGGTGAAAAAAACTGTGGCATGATTTGTCCAAGGTTGCTCCTCTTAAGTGGTAGAGCTGGTCTGGAACCCAGGTCTTTGGCGAGCTTTTTCCTGTATACCAGTGCATCTGAAACCTCAGTGTGCATCAGAATCACTTCAAGGGCTTGCTAAACCAAAGATTGCTGTCCACTCTCACCCCTTCTGATTCGAGTCAGGAGTGGAGTCCAATAATTTGCATTTCTAACAAGTACTCAGGTGATGTCCACATTTGCTAGAGAACACTGATCTATGCCGACCTATTAACTTGCTCTGTGGCCTTAGACAAATCCCTTTTTTTTTCCTATCCCACTGTCTCAATGCATACAATGGAGCGGGGTGGGGGTGTAGACTAGAACTGTGACTTCCAGACCTTATTTATTTTCTTTTAGCCGCAAAACCCATCTTTCTGGCCAGGTGAGGTGGCTCACGCCTGTAATCCCAGCAGTTTGGGAGGCCGAGGCGGGTGGATCACCTGAGGTCAACGGTTTGAGACCAGCCTGGCCAACATGGCAAAACCCCATCTCTACTAAAAATACAAAAAACAATTCGCCGGCCTTGGTGACGGGCACCTGTAATCCCAGCTACTTGGGAGGCTGAGGCAGGAGAATCACTTGAACCCGGGAGGCAGAGATTGCAGTGGGCCGAGATCGTGCCATTGCACTCTAGTCTGGGCGACAGAGTGAGGCTGTCTCAAAACAAAACAAAAACAAAAACAAAAACATCTTTCCAAAGAAATCTTATATATGATTCCAATACATAAGAATCTGGTGAAGTGCTGGATGGGAACCCAGAGCTTGTGGCACCTATCTCCCCACAGAGCAGGCACTGGAGTACCTCCTGAAGTACACAACTGCAAATCCCTTCACTAGATGTAGCCTACATGTTTTTTTTTTTTTTTTTAATTGAGACGGAGTCTCGCTCTGTCCCCCACGCTGGAGTGCAGTGGCGTGATCTTGGCTCACTGCAAGCTCCGCCTCCTGGGTTCATGCCATTCTTGTCTCAGCCTCCCGAGTAGCTACGACTATAGGCGCCCGCCACCACGCCCAGCTACATTTTTTGTATTTTTAGTAGAGACAGGGTTTCACCGTGTTCGCCAGGATCTCGATCTCCTGACCTCGTGATCTGCCCGCCTTGGCCTCCCAAAGTGCTGGGATTACAGGCGTGAGCCACTGTGTCCGGCTGCCTATATGTTCTTTGAGAACGCTTCCAGCTCTGACATTCCAAGATGCCAACAGACTTCTAGCATTTGCCATCGTGACGGGACAGGGAAGAGTTGGAAGGAAACTGATGCTGCACAAGACTGCTTTGCCCATGCCTATTGCTTGGATCATACACAGGAAAGATCTTAACACTGCTGGGCTGTTGGACTAATGGACCCCTTTGACAACTTGATAAAATCTGTGGACCAGCCCCTTAGAAAAATGATTATACACATACCCACAATGATACTCAGTATATCCTTTGAAGTGTTGTAGACACTCTAGGGGTCCTAATCCAAGTTAAAACTCTTGTCTGGGCTCTGGCACAGCACTTTTACCAAATTCCTCTTTGGCATTTTCTTAGTATAAGCCCTCTCCATCATTTCTTGGTGTGGCCATTTACAGAAATCCCTTAAGGCACCTAGCAGAATCATTAGGTTATCATTTGGTGACTCTGTCCTTCCTCACCAGGCTGAAGGCTCTAAGAAATGAAAACATGGTTTATTCATCCCTATCTCTTGCTAGTTCAGGGCTGACATGGGGTAGGCACTCTAAGGTGAGGTGAGTTTCTGAGGGGATTTGGTGACCACAGAGAACAGTAGATCAGTCCCTAAGATATTTCTCTTGCTCTAATGCACACCACAAGGAAGCCCACTCTCATCTTTTCTAGGCCAAAAGAGTGCAGAAGTGACAAAGAAAATCTCTCTGGCTTTCAACTGCTGTTTGGTGTATAGTGTGAGCAGGTGTGGAGAATAGCAGGAAGCCTGTTGGGTAGCAGCAAGGCGGCCTGACTCTTCCCACTGTCAGGGAGACTCTAAACAAACCACCTGGCCACTTGCTAGGCTCTGTAGCCAGCAGTGCCTCTGGGGCCTGATGCTTCCAAGTGAGCTAGCCTCATACTACAGCTGAGAACAGAAATGGTTCGAGGAGTCCGGAATAAGATATGGGTGGAGCTTGGTTATGGGAGCAATCAGAGCCAGAGGCCCACAGGGCCTCAGGACCTGGTTCCTGGTCAAGCCTTGTCTGGAGCCTCCACAGTAAAGGGAAAACTATACTGGTCTGCCCCACACCCACCCTCTTCATCTCACAAACACCAAAACTACAGTTGCCTGTTTATTATTTTTC